TTCCTATGCTTGGTAGACCTCGTGGGTGTGAACCTGCACGTCCCCATAGCTTTACAGTGTGGGAGGTTTCTTCAGTTTGCTCACATATGGAACCACTACCAGTACAAGGTAATGTCATTGTTGGAGCGATTGCATCCAGGTTCTCTGGACAGTACTAGCTGCTTAGCTCTCCATCACACACTATTTTTAGTAAAAACCGACAACATGATGGCCTTAATTATTACATCTTCGGGAAGCAACAACATCAAAATCCTTGCCTAAAGAGGCCTGTTTCTGCTTGCTCCGGGCAGAATACAATATCCCACCCTTTATTGTGCAGCATATTCAGGGAAGTCTCAATAAGAGACCATCTTTCTAAGCTGATAATGCCTCAGCCCTGCAGGATGAACTCCGGAAACAGACATGCAACAGCATTGCCATCATATTGGCCTAATCTGGGTGGACGTCTTCACCACCTCTCCCAACAACCAGTTGCCACACTTCTCCAGACACAGATCAACAGAAGTCATTGATGTGTTCCATTTTGCTGGCCCAGAGGCAGATCCTTCCTCTTCCAGTTTGGATAAAGGTTCTCAGAAAAATCATGGAAGAGTGGGCAACACTGGTACTTAGATTTCTATTCTGACCCTGGATTCCATGGCTCTCTCAGACCTTTCAACTGACACAAACAAACCTGTAGTTCATGCCTTGAAAACAGCCCTTCTCACACACACACTGGCCTGGCATTTGGATTCAGACGTGCTGCATCTGGCCACTTGATTACTGAGCATGGCGACTTCCTCTCTCTCAGCTACTCTACTGAGATAACAAACGCTTATTGTCCCCCAGGAGACCACCAAACATCCAAATATATGAAACCATTTGGAAGGTTTTTCTTTGTACTTGCAGAAGAAAGTGTTCCAGACTGTAAGACATCAGGAACAATTCCTTCTGTTCCTCCAAAACAACTAGACCTGGAACCCCGAGCAAACATGCTTTGCAGATAAGCTGTCGCTACCTTCTGTTCTCCCCAGGCCATGCCAAAAGCCACTTGGATCCTACCTGCAAATTCAGTAATTCCTCAGAGAGGCAGCACTACTATGTCCTCCAGTCATATGTTGCTGCCCACTTGGAGTCTGCACGTATTAATATAAGCTCTTACCATTTCCTCCATTGAACTGCTGAGAACTGCCTCACTCCCATTTCTTTTCCTCATAGATAGAAAACAACCCAAAACGATCTCAGAACTAGCTGCACTCCCTGTGAAGGATCATCTCTCTTCATTCAGCAGGGACTTTTCATTCTTTGACCAGACCTTTCCTTTGTTCACAGAATTAACACTGTTTGATACAAAGTGGAAAAGGTAGCTGTCTTTTCCTTCTCCCCTCATCCTTCTCATCCCTCTGACCAGGTCTGGAAGATCCTGGATGTTTAGAAGGACACCAAAAACTACTCTAAATTAACCAAGGAACCTTGACGTCCTCCCCCCCCCCCCTTTTTTTTTGTTACTTTCTGTCTTACTGCCCTGGGAAAGCCCAGCTGTGCCAGGTAGTTGCAGAGAAGTATATTTATGGCCGGTGTGGTTGAAAGATCTTTGAACCTGGAAATACCACACTGCACTCCACTAGGGTTGTGGCTGCCCGGCTTTTTTTTCTGTACTTTGCTCCTTTAATAGAGATCTGCATGACAACTTCCTGTGTCATTACACATTCCTTAGGCATTATAAACCAAACAAATATATTTTGGTCAAGCCAACATTCAGACAACTGGTTCTGTCTGCTTTGGAGCCCTACCTCTGAGGATATTAGCTTTTGTGTAACCCATGATGGATATCTCTTTGCACCAGATGGAAATTGAAAACTGAGTATTCACCATGAAGTTCCATTCTGATTTAATGCATAAAAGACATCCAGAGCACAGCCTGTGGCATGTTAAGCAACATAATTAATTATGTTTTTCCAAAGGGAGTATGCCAAAGCCTAAGAGACAGGATTTTATTCTATCTCTGGAACTATCTGTCTGCATTAGCTTCCTTGTTTGTTTCTGGCTGCTCAATCACTACTCTCTTTAGAAGCTTGGCTATTAAAGAACTGGCTCAGTGGAGCCACATAGGTCAGGACCAAGTCAAGAAACTTGGTCACATATTCCTTGCTAGTCCTGGGCTATGAAGAAGCAACCCATGGCGGATGACGCCTGTTCTGAATGGAAGTTGAGAGGATGTATTCAACTTTCCTTTTCTTCCTCCGATAGCCGCTACACAGCCATGATCATTTAACCATGTAATGGTGGTCTTGACAGCTTATTGTACTGTTCATACACTTCACAAACATTCCTACAGCTAAACCTTCTTCAAAGAAATCCCATCTACTAGTGAGCTTTGTGTCTTGAGTCAGACGTAGCTGGAAAAACCATGGCTTGGGCACTGTGGACGCACTTTGCTCAGTGTACTTTCTTCTTCCTTCACACACCAGCACCTGAGTTGCAATGGATTGTGCCAGAGAAATGTATCTTTCCCACTCTTGCCAGGCCCAAACAAATCTGGCTGATTCAAATACTACAGTTAACTCCTCAGAAAGCCTCAAGGTGTGTGTTTGCTGTTATTTTAAAAGCATGTTGGAGCTTTTGACTTGGCCAAAGCAGAGTTCCTGTCACCAGCTAGTGTTTACATTCAGACCTCATGATCTCCAGCTGCAAATTGTGTGGGAATGCCAGGCCTAACTCACTTTGAAGAACACTGTCCTATTTTAATTGTGGCTACTTTATTCAAAGGGGAGCATAACTGGGTTTTGTTTTATTTATTTATTTTGCGATTTATATCCTGCCTTTTTCCTACAAAGGGCTCAAGGCAGCTTACATCATTCTCCTCCTCCATCTTATCCCCACAACAACACCCTGTGAGGTAGGCTGGGCTGAGAGTCTGTGACTGGCCCAAAGTCACCCAGTTGGCTCCATGGCTGAGCGGGGACTAGAACCCAGGTCGTCCGAGTCCCAGTCCCAGCTCTTAACCATGACACCACACTGGCTTTCTGGGTTCACATCTCAAGATCACCACTACCTCCAGCACCCTTCTTGAATGCTTGTCCTATCTCTAGCATGCATAAAACATAGTCCGTCTCCACAGCAGAACTGGACACCAAGCGGCTTTGTGGCTTGTGCAAACTACAAAGGCAATCAGAGCAAGAGGAGCCTATTTCCAACAGCCGGACTATGATTTGGCCTGTAGGAGCAGCCTTATGGTTGATTGTATAAACAGAACTGGTTTCTCACCACTAGATAATTGAGGGCTTACCATTACCGTTTCCTGAAGGTCTGTATCTAAATTGTGTTGCCAGTAGACATCAGGATGTTAGTGATATACCGGACTTTGTGTATAAATAACAATGACTTGCCTGGCTGTTTATCTTTTCCTTATCTTCATAAACAAAAACTTTTGTCTCCATTATTTCACTGCAGCCAGGTCTGTTTAAGTCAGTTATTGAGTAGAGAAACTAGTAAAAGAGCTCCATCTTTTGGTGATTTCCTCTTATTAACATTTGACATTTTTGTGTTAGTTGTTTTCAATGAATGATAGGGATGGAGCTGAACAATTTAAACTACCATCACTCTGAAAATTCAGGACCCTTGGCTGGGTCCACAGATGTGCAAGGCTGCACGAGTGAAAACCCACCTGGATTTCAGTTCTTTCTCACACAAGGATTTTGTACCAAGACAGAAAGTGCCAGTCTGTCCACGGATAGGCATCGCGAAGTCTGCTCTTGGGGTAGAATAAGCATGTATGGAATTTCTAGAGTACTCTTTGAGAAGGTTTCAGAAAAATTGGAGCAAGTTCAGAGAAGAGCAACAAGCTGGGAATAAGTACTATGACAAAAGATGGAAGGAACTGGGTACATTTAGTCTTGAAAAAGGAAGTCTAAGGAGAGATGTGATAGCACCTAAGTACTCAGAAGCTTGTCTCATAGAAGGAGGCCACATCCTGTTCTCTCTTATCATCCAAGGTGATGGGACCCACAATCATGGGTTAATGTTACAGCAGAACATCAGGAGAAACTTTCTGTCAGACCAGCCAGAGAACAGAACCAATTGTGGTCTCTCCATCGCCAGAAGTATTTAAGCAGAGTCTAGGCAGCCATCTGTCAGGGGTGCTTTAAATTGGATTCTGGCACTGGCCAGGGTGTTGGGCAGCCTAAATGCCCTTTTTGAACTCTCTGATTCTGCTGTGCATGTTGCATTGAACTAGACAGAATGCTCACATAAAATGCATGATCGACCTGGGAATGAGTCCTTGTACCTAGCAGCCCAGAAGTGGTTCCTCAGATGAAGGAAGGCTATAACAGCTCTAAAGGGTTTACCTTCTTCATGACCTAGGGAAGTGGGTGAAGAGGGTTAAATCTATTATCCATCTGCCAATTTTTTAAAAAAGGGATAGGTTCTTAAGACAGATTCTTCTATGCTCACTTCTCAGCATCTATGTCTCAGCTATATTACTTCAGACTGGTGCCTGGATTTCATTTGACTGAATATTCCTCTATATTAAAACATTCATTGAGCATAGAAAGCTGCATTTAGAACCATTCTAAAATCAAATTTTAAAGTCTATTTGTATAATAAAGGAGTGCTGAGCCATGTATGTCCTTTACCACCTCAGTAAGAACCACACATGTTTTTTCTTGGAGTCTGGCCACTACCAGTTGGCTATCACTTCTCCATTTTTGCAGTTTAAATACAGGGTAACCTTGTTTATTGCATCAATGTCTCATTAATGTTTCATGCTGCTTGAATTTTCTTGTCTTAGATTTTATACTGAATTTTTATACTGAAAGTTCAATTGTACTTTCTTCTGAATTTTTAAAATTAGAAGCTGGTCTGTGATTTTTTTTTTTATTCAAGGGTGGAGTATCAGTACTTAGAATAAATAAGTCATTGAGCAGGTTAGACCAGTCTAGAAGCAAACTCCTCAGTCCAAATGGAATTGTGATATTGTTGAAGAAGAATTTATAAGAGGATATCTTTCTGTCACATAGCTATTGTGTTGTGGCTGGACTGGGCCAGAAACTTGGAGAAACAACACAGTCCTTCAGGAGAGAAATCAGACAGCATATCCTTGCTCTTGTAGCAATAACACGGTTGACTCCCTGTCAGAGGTGGGCTTCTGCACCTTGGTTTCGGTTTCTAACACCACATCAGTCGATGACTGGCCAGTCAGAAAGCAGGTGAGTCTTATTTCTGTAGTCCTATGAAGTCACATTGAGAAAACCTTGCTGCAGGTTTACTTGCTTCAAAAAGAGCTGGTTTGATAGAAAATGTCAACTAATGTAAGACATGGTTTCTTTTTCCTACAGTAAATACAGACATTGTGGCTTGTATGTGGAAACTTGATTTAGCATAGTATCAAAAGATGTCCCCTTAAAACAAACAAACAAACAAACAAAAGCTCCAGGTACTCTTGGAAGAAGCAGATTATCTAGACCCATTCCAGTCTAGTTTCAGGCCTAGTCTGGGGAAAGAGGCAGCCTTTGTTCCTCCCCTGGATCCCTTGTTGTTCTTCTGGATTACCAGACGGGGGGATGCAACTTTTGATTCTCCTTGTTGTCTCTGTTGCTTTTGATACCATTGACCATGGTATCTTCTTGGACCTGCCCTGTGGGTTGGGGTAGAAGCCATTGTATTGGTCCCTCTGCTAGGCTGGTGTCAGACAGATGCAGTATATGACTGTCCGTTAGCCCCTAGCATTTCCACCCTGCTGTACTAATGGTGCCCTCTTGTCCCCAGTGTGGAATTATTCTGGTGTGGTAAAATGGTTCTAGTCCAGATTTGTAGCATCCCCACAGCCTAGTGGCTAGTGCTCATAGTTGTCATACAGAACGTTCTAGCTTCCATCCCTAGGGTTTCCCATTTGCAGAGGATGGGGGAAGAACTCTGCCTGAGGCACTGAGCAACTACTGCTTGGCTAGATGGACAAATGGTGTAATGCAGATTTCTGTGGTCACAGAGAACAGAATGCCCATGGGTGGCTTTTATACACAGTGAATGAATAACTATCTGCAATAAGCAAATGTAATGAGAGTATTTCAGTTCTCATGTCTAATGTTCAGCTGTCTACCATTGGGGTTTTATATCCATAATCTTAAATATTTGCTGAGTCTGCTTTTATATGCATGGGTGTTTATCTATGTATACATATTCTTTGTCCTCAGGGGTGTATGAAAGGTGTGCAGAACTGGCTACAGGAGAACCTCGGCATTATTCTTGGAGTCTGCACAGGGGTTGCTGTCATTGAGGTAACCTTTCTTCCTTTTTCTTCTGTTCCATGTACAAGTGAACAAAAGCACCTAAGATGTGTGAGGTCACCGCACGCTGCCACAGTCCTGCAATTGTTCTCTATACATGCAGTGCTGGGAAGCCCCAGCAACCCATGAGAGAGGGACTTGCTGTGACCCATGGAAATGTGCCCGAAGTCTGGCCCCTGATTGGGTGACAGGACTGAATTGTGACTTTCTAAAATGGTGCCTTTCTCAGCTGGCAGTAGGTTGCTCGAAGCACGTGCTGGAAGTTAACAGGTTAAACACTTGCTAAGGAGCATGAATTTAATTTTCCAGCCTTTACTTGGAAAAAGGGTTTTGCCAAACCAAATGGCAGCTGTAATCAGATGCAAAAATCTACCCATGCGTCACTAATGGAGATTGCTTGGGGTGGGGTGCAGTTAAAAGGCAATTTTGCCTAAGAGGCTTTTCTGCCCAATTTCATGTTGTTGCAAATTTCATAGAAACTTCACATTCACAATACTTTTAATAGGAAAAAAATGCAGGTGGAAGAACAGAAAGTATTGTGTGCTCTGGAGTACAATTTGAGCCAATAAACATTGGACCAGAATTCAAGTTTTATCCCTTAAGTGAAGTAATTTTCTCCTTCTTCATCAGAACCCATATGCCAAAATCCTTGTTTATATTGTTGTCTAGCAGCCACAAACCTGCTGCTTGCGCTCCACTGTTCAGATGTAAGATTTGCAGGTGTTTCATGTAGTCACACCTGAATTTGAGAGTGCACAGTTTTTTTAATGGCCAGTCAAAATTTCCGCAGATTTGTCAGAATGTAACATAATCCAAAATGAGTTCTTATGAGTTCTTTATTAGATTTATATCCTGCTTCATTACAGCAGCTTACATCATTTGCCCCTTCCTGCTCGCAATCTTATCCCCACAACAACAACAACAACCCTGTGAGGTAGGCTGAGCTGGGAGTCTGCAACTGGCTCAAAGTTACCCAGTTGGCTTCAAGGCTGAGCAGAGACTAGAACCCAGGTCACCTAAGTCATAGTCCTGCACTTTTAACCACTGCATCACACTGTCTCTCATTTCAGCAGCAGCTGCTGCTTTGTTTATATGACTTACTTTTATTCTAATGATGTTAGCAATTTAAATTTTGGATTTGCTGCATCTTGTTGGATGTGATTCATTGCTGCTCTTAGTATTTTTTATACCAAAACACTTAAACATACCATGATGGCACTAATGAACACAGTGCTTTTCACATCAACATGAGCAAAATTGAAACCCGGAGCAGTGTAGCATGTAATTTTAACCCTGGGAGAAAGAGAAAAAGAGTCTGATAGGCAAAGGGCGAATATAACAAATACACTTGAAGTCAGGCCTGGCTGAACACTTGAACTCAGGCCTAGTGGACAAGGGCTGAGGGATTAAACCGAAGGATCCGCTGCAGTGCAGAGGTTTACACAGGGATTCCCCACCCCATTCGTGCAGTAGGCAGTCCTTCTGACCTCCTTCCTTTTTCTCATGCAGCTGCTGGGAATGGTGCTCTCCATCTGCCTCTGCAAGAACATACACACTGAAGACTACACCAAAGTGCCCAAGTACTGAGAGACTGCTGGCTCCTGGAGCTGCCCAGAGCAGGCGGATGCTTCCTTCCCTCCCCACTCTCCAGACTGTCTCCATCACTTAGCGTTTCTCCTGTGACGTCCAGCATTGCTGTGGATCAATTGGGCTGCATGGCAGCTATGAATTCTTTGAGGGATCAGGGGCTTGGACAGCCTCTTCCTGTCTCCTGACTGTTCTTCTATGAAGCAGGCCATTTTAAAGTCTTCCTCTACTCATGTGATTCCCTGCACTTTTACTGCCAGCACTGCGCTAGAGAGCCTCTTCCTTGTTTTTATTCACTTCTGACCCATTGTAGCTGAGCTCAGAATACTTCCTTTCTTTCTTGATTTTGCCGCTCTTTACTATCACTGCTACATGTACATAACCCTTTTTCCATTCAGCTAGGAAGAATATGGGGCTTTGGCTGTTGTTGGTGGTTTGATCTCTTTTAAATACGCCTACTGTAGAAAAGAGTGTCCTTCCACTAATTTGACACCTCTGCCTTTGTTAACTTCCCTTTCTCAAATCTACTGGATTATCCCTTGAATCTGTTGTTGTATAGTTTACTAGACTTCACTTTCTCTCTCTCTCAAAAAAGATTGCTTTTCACTTACTGCTCAACCTTTGACACCAATCAGCGGAGGATTGGGCCAGGCTTATGATTTCACCAGCCAGTGGCAAGGGAGTGTGGCTGGGGAAGTTTTGATGTAGTCTCCCTCTTCCCTGCCACATTGTCCTTCCTATTCTCTGGATCCTGTTAGCTTGGAGACACTTTAGAGACTGCATGAGTAGCATGAGTGAGCGTGCACGACTCACCGGAACATGTTCTTGGGTTGCCAATTTTTGTAGAGGTGATGACTGAGATTATATATATATTTTCCTTCGGTATAACTCTTCTGCAATTGTGTGTTGTCATTGATGAAAGGAGTATCTGGAATCGATGGCTGTTCATACCAGTGGTTCTGGAGAGCACATGATCTGGCCATTGGGTAACATCTACGGAGAAGAGCAGCAACTTCTTCCTGTTAAGCTGCATCTCCGGTTGGCCTGGGAATAGCTAGAGTTGCCATCAGAAGTCAGACAAGTAGAGTCAAGAGGTAGCAGGGAATTACTATGAGGACTCCCATACTGGGAGAAGTGTCTGCACTCAGCAGCCATACTAGGTGTGGATGCAAAGAGGACAATGGAATCCCATGGGGGCAAATCCTTCCTTTGGGGGAAAGGGAAAGGCTTCCACTATAGAAGCCCTTTGAAAAAAAGTAGGCGGTGATCACATTCTGGTTAACAGTTGCCTGAGAACATGTGGCACTGACAGTCCCATGGGTGACTCCCATACTGTGGAGGTCCAAGAAGGCACTTTCAAAAACACTGAAGTTTGGACTTTGGATCTTCAAAGCCTTTCCTGTGCTGAGAGTCCTTAACCACCTTGAATCTACAAGTCGGTCAGTCTGTGCACTATCATTGGTAGTATCTACAAACATAAGATTTAAATTCTGCCCTGTGGGGAGAATTTAACAGGCTTGAGATAGTTAGCCTAGGGACTATCTTCCAAACCTGCAAGAGCATCTTGTACTTCTCTGTACCCCACAATACCAATGCTACTATTTCTTCAGTGAAAACTGGTGATGATACATGCAAGAAAAGTCTGACTGCTATAACTTTTCTTTGTCCATCAGACTAGAGCTTAGTCAGGTAAGGCAGGGATGGAGAACCCCTGGAGGATGCCTTTTGAGCCTGCCAACAGGGCCCTTCCCGTTAAGATTCTGGCAAACAATTAAGTTCACAAAAGGGATTTTTCCTGGAAGTGATGGTCTGAAGTTTGCTTTTATTTCCTGCAGCCTGGTATTTCCTTTTCAAATTGATTGTAAAGTTATGTTTTATACTCACCTCTTGTGCTTCAACTGATAAGCTGCTTCACTGATAAGCTGTTTATGCAATGGCTCTTCTCTGGGATTCAGCTCTGAGCAGAAAAAAGGAAAAAAGGCTGAGCCCATTCTGGTTTTCTCCTTTGTTTTTAGAAATCTCTTCCAAATGGAAGAAATGCATGTACAGATTTAAACCAATAATGGGTGGGTATTTCAGTAATAAAAATATTTGCTTAAAAAATGCTTGTGCGTTCAGTGCCTGACTGTGGAGTCTGCTTGTGTTCAGGACACTAAAAAAGAAGAAAAAAGGGGGGGGGATGGGAGAATCTGTAGGCAAACTATTATTGCCAGCAATATGATGAGCTTTCATTTGCCATATGGAACAAGGTTCTCTTCTCTTTCTGTTTGCATAAATAGCCTTGTTCATGCATTATGCCTAAATAGAAATCAGCTGCCTATGTTGGCCCTTTCTTTACCCCTAACTTTTCCATGCAATGCAGTAACTTCTGAAAAGGCTTCTACACGTGTTTGGTTGAGGGTGTTTCAACCGTACCTCAGAGTATTGTCTGAAGGCACCTAAGACAACTACCATGTTGAAGCTAAGCAGGTCTGGGGCTGGCCTGAACTTGGAAGGGCAACCACCTGGGAACCACATGTAGCCACCTTGAGAATATATCAACACTTCTACACAATCAGGAAATCTGAAGTACACGGATGCTTCTACATGCATTTAGGCAAACATGGAGGAACATTGCTTCACACCTTCTCAATCCATGGGGCAAAGTCAGGGGTGGAACACTGAAGGATGTGGGAGCAGAGGCAGTATGCATGGCCTGTACAAGGCATTGCTGTTTCCAGTTCAAGTATCATAAAATACCTGACTAAGATATGTGTGCAAAGGAGATGTAATGTGTTTTTTTTTTCAAATGACCACAATGTGTATTTTTTTTTCAAATGACCACAAGGTTTGGGTTATTTAATTAGATAAGCAGTTGGTCAAACAGAGATAATACTAGAAGGTTTGAATAGGAAGGAGAGGCTTGTGGTTGGCTTGAGCTGCTTCTACAATTCTCATCCACTAGAGGGTGCTGGCAACATATGAAAACGCTGGCAGTGGTGGGGATAGCCATACTCTGCAACCTTGTTCTGCACTGGGCAATGCACAGTTTCTGGTTTAGTCTATCAGTTAGCGCACGTTCTGCATATTTCCATAGGGGTTACTGGTGTGTTTACATACTGTCTTTTGCAGTTACTTCTGTCAGATGCTAAATGTCAAGAAATAGGTTATCTCCCGTCCTTTGTAGAACTTCTCCAACATTTGTTAAAAGAGTAGGATTCAGAGTTAGTAAATTATCTGAAGTTTAAATTTAAGAAGAGACCATTTAGAAAGAAAAGGAATTAAGGTTGAAATTGTGTAACTATGTATGTAAAATGTGAAAAGCTGCAATGATGCATACAGATGCATGGCAACAAAGTCGAGAAACCATCTTAAGTAGGTGCTGGGTTCTCCATCCTTGAGATAGGGAAGAAGAGGCTGGGCAGCCGTCTGTCAGGGATGCTGTTGCCCATGGTGTAGGAGAGCCAGAGTTCTTGGGAACGCAATTCTGGTGCTTCCTTTATTAGCAGGACTCTGGTGTCACCTGCTGCTCTCCCCAAAATTCCTTGTTCTCTCCAAGTGTGGCTTCAGTCCCTTCAGCAGCTGGAGAAGACAGTTGAGTCTCCCCAGCAGCTACATACTGTTCCCTGCCGTACTAAAAAGAACTTAGGGTGGCTGGGTCTTTAAGGCAATTAAGACCCATTTAGTGGGCATTTAAGACCCATTTTCTTTACCATAGACCTGCTCCTGCTTGAGGTGAAATTGGTTTACTGATAGTTAAAAAAACAGCTGCCTGCATATTTGAATTCTCCTTGGGGCATGTCTAGGGATGTGGAGATTTTTAAAATACATTCTGCCTGTGTTTTACATATTGTTAGACATCTTTTGTTCTGTCATTTGTGCATTGATAAAATCAGATTTTTTTTTGTATACACATTTTCATCTATTTGGGCTAATCGTCACTCAGGTGCAATGATGCATATTACCAAAAGTGCAAAACCAGTGTGCAAGTCCATAGAATCTGCGTGACTCAGAAAAAGTTAGTCCAGGATTCACAGCAATCCATTACTCATCTGAATCCATTGAGGATTTGTGGACATTCATAGGCAAGCCTATGGGAATTGTCATGACGAACACCTGGACTTCCCCATTCACCACTGCCTGTTGTTGCATCCTGCACTGAGTGGGGAACTCGGCTAGAGAACCTCCAAGGTGCGTTCCAACTGCATCATTCCAAACCCAAATCTGACTGTGGATGGTGATGCTGCTTCAAAGTTGTATTCCAAAATCAGGTATAGGCCTACTTATACATACCTGTTAGGTTTGCCTTAACCCATCCACGAATCCTATATAAACATGTTTATAAAATTGCACATGCCATAATGTATGTAACAGTGTTCCAGTGCTGTCCCATTTTTTTAAAACAAAGTTGCTTTGGCCCCCCTGTGGAGTGAGGACTGATTTGTACAAAAGAAAAGGATAACGCAGTTTCCATCTGTCTCACCCCATTTCATTCTTTATTTGTTCCTGCAGAAGTAGTTTTGTTCCCGAATTCTCTCTCTTGGAGAGAATGTATTGGAGCATCATGTTGTCTAAATATTAGTGTAGCTTGCCTGTTAAAGCAACGAAGAAATTTCCACGCTGGCTATTTAATTCAGAATGAACATTCCCTATTCTTTCATTTTGTGGGGAGAAATCAGATGATGTCATTGACAACTCACTGAATTCCAGTGTCTTCTGTGTTGCCCTCTTGCTGCTCCCTCTGCTCTAACCTGATTTCCTGGGTCCTTTTCCTCTGCTTTAAATGCAGTTGAAGGCCAGAATGTCCAGTGTGGATTGCAAAGTACTGTGGAGAATGGCTGGGCTTCTGTACCTTTCATTAGAAGTTTTCTCATTGCAATGCACAAGCCTGCATTTGTTTCTATTTAGCACAACCAGTGTGTTTCTGATGGACTGCCCTTTAATTTGTTCCAGTTCAGAAAGACTTTAATTACTAGGCTCTACTTGGTATGCTTTTCTTAATTGTGAAATAGTGCTATGTAGCCATTTCAATAATAGTTTGATGAAAATCCTTTAAGCAATGCCTTGGCATGGTTGAAAAGAAGTGAATTATGCTGAAAATCTGCAAGGAAGATTCTAAAGTTGCAAGGAGAATTTACTAAATGGGAATTCTGTGTAAACACAGTGGGATAGATAATGTGTTGCCCCCCCAGCGCTTCAGACTACAGCTCTGATTTATTCCGGCCAACATGGCCAATGGTCAGGGATTCTGGGAATGGGAGTCCAAAAAAGCTGGAAGGTGTCAGGTTATCTACCCTTGCATTGGAGAGATCCTGACTATGAGATACTGTCTGTCATCTGATAACAATCCAATATTACGTATGTGGAAGCACTTTCTGAATTCTGTTTTCTGTTAATAACAGAAAAACAAGGTCTCGGCAGCAGTACAGGAAATCTAATGGGAGAAGTAGTGAAAAGGCAAGCTTAAAACTATGCCATATTTCTAATTAGGTACTTGAGGCTTATGGCTATTATACAAAAATTCTACAGTGGCACATATGTTTTCTAGAAGCAAAAGCTCACAGAGGAGATGGAGGACTATATGTGCTCCATGGCTCTGGCGCACCTGTCGCTTCACTATGGTGGCTTATCACCAACATTCAATGAACCTCAGTTCTCCCTTCCTGCAGAAATGGGGAGTGAATGATTTGCCAAGACAGTATCAAATGAAGCGTAGTCCAAGAATGTCATCCCCTTCCCCACCCGAAAGAGTCTTCTGCAGGAGTGTTCAAAGTGACAGCATCTCCGCACAGCTTGGAATAGATATGGAAGCACTCGAGGTCCAGGACAGGATGTGCCGTGCTGACCACTACGATTTGAGGCAGGCTGGTGTGAATCAGGTGGACTTACTTTGCATAAAGCACGCCCAAATTCAGGGAAGTACTTTAGCATGGCAGTCTGCTGGGTGCATTTTTGAACCCTATCCAGATGGTAACGTTCTCCTTCACCAGTATGGATGGATTCCCTCACATTTCTAGATCTGTATGATAAATAGCTCTTTAATAGCCTGAGTCATTATGAAATGCACTGTGATTGCAAATCCCTGATTTATGGCATAGCAGGCTGTGTACCTAATCGTGTAGAATAAATGCATCCAGATGATTGAGTGGGTTCAGCTTTGGTCACCATGTCTAGAGATGACATAATATCCCATTCTGTCTCCAGAGTCAGAACAGGGAGGACCGGGCTGTGCACTCAGTGAAATACAGAGTGTTTTCAAAAAACACAGAGAGGGACCAGGACTTTGCCTTGGGGTGGGGGATGGTATGATCATTTGAAAAACAAAAGCTGCTTCTAGCTTTGGCTCTGCGAACTCTGTAACTAAATGGGCCATGACCCTGCTCTGTGATGCAGTCCCCAAAGCAGCTAAACTGCTGCTTAGGATGACGAATTTCAACGTGGGTGGGATTGTTCCTCCAGAAGCTTGTCATTTACCCCTTCATATTTTGGAAATACGTTAATGGTGAGGTCTGGATAGGATGGGCTAAAGTTGTTTTGCTCTGCGTCTGCAACCGTTTTACTGTAAAGGCCAGTGTGGTCTGTGGAAGAAATTCTCATTTTAATGCAGACGTAGCTAATTTTGCACTTGCAAACCACTAAATGAACCAGACTCAGATATTCTCTGAAATTCACAATCCAACAAAAATGCACATTTTATTATTTATTTAGGTTTTTTAAAATTGATAGAGCACTGCCACAGCCCTATGGGGCTCTCTGGATGTTGTACGGTGTAAAAATAAAACCAAATAAAATACATATAATACAGCAATTACAATAACTACATTGATCAGACATTTAACACAGGGCTAGAAATGTATTACAATTGCTTACAAAGTTTGTGCATACTCAGAAAAAATATATTTATACAAAATGCATGCATTAGGGGAATATGTACAAAAATATGAACATTTAATGGGAAATTTAAAAATATTCTTGAGGTTTGGATAGAAGTGAATTTAAGAATGGGAAAATGAGAAGCTGAGAGGTTTTTTTTTAAAAAGGCAGATTCATCATTCTGTTCTGCAAGCCAAAGTCCCCTGCACAGCTCTTGGGACTGAATGAACCTCTGGGGCTTGCTGTCGCAGCTCAAAATCCACATGCTTGCTTCCAAAGGAAGAAGAAAGGAGCGTGCAATAGGTCACTGCATCCTGCCTCACCCTGGAGGCCCAGTGGCGTTGCCTCTGTTCTCTGATGCCCTAACTCCAGTCAGTCTCTTTGCAGTTACCCAGGTGCTCACTTGAAGAGGCAGGCAGTGGTCCAGCCCACAAACTGCCTGATTTCTGGGGAGTAAAGACACCCACATTCTTGACTCCTGTCAGGCAGCTCAGATAACACCACAGGTTCCCACTTGACTCTCTGCTCCATAATATGCCCACAGAAAGTCCTGAATCTTACTCAAATCTCCCATGGGAAAATCCACTGACCTGCAATTTCCTTGCTTAAACAGGTTATCTGTTCCAGGGATATTCTGTGCATGTGTGACAGGGGGTGCATTTATGTATTTATTATATTTATAAGCTGCCAAATAGTTCAAAAGACTCTCTAGGCAGCATACCACAGGCAAAAATTAGAAATATACCACAAAACATTAAAAACCATCATTAAAATACAAATAACAAATTAATAATAAAAACAATTTAACAGGGTCATTCTTAAAGGTGGCAAGGTGAGCCTGATGCCACTAAAATTATGAACATTTCACTAAAATTAAAAACATCTAAAATCAACTATTAAAACACAGTTTTGATTCATTTCAAGCGCGTCTTCAGACACTGCACTAATACAAGCATCTTTTCTTCCCACAAAGGGTATTGCCAATTTTAAAATACTGATTTTGCAAACACAAGAAGATCTCTGTTCTAGATTAGTTTAAGAGTAGCTTCAGATATGTGCATAGTGGGTGATTCTGGACAGATAAAAGGAAATACAGCTTCACACAATGCATAGTTAAACTATAGAAGTCTCTACCACAAGACTTTGTGATGGAGAAATGTTTTTGCCTGGTGTCAAAATGAAAACAGAGTTGGCGCTAGGCAATTTTAACTGGGGAGCTTATTCCCTGGGGGAGGGGGGTAGCCACCAAAAAGACCCTTCTTCTGTTTACCATCCTTTTCACCTTGCGGAATTGCTCTTTCAGAAGGGCCTCTTGCTCAGATCTTAATGGTCGGGTAGGCATATATGTGAGCAGGTAAATGCCAGTGCATAGAGGCTTGGCTGCTAGAGGCCAACTCCGCCTCCTCTTCCTCTTCGTCTTAGTCTTTGCGAGGGCCAGTGCCAGCCTGCCTCAAGGGCAAGAAGGAAGGGGAAGGGAGTTGCCAACACTCCCACCTGCAAACTGTACCTCCACTGCTGCTGCTCTTCTCTTGCGTGTAGATGGTTCTGTTTTGGCCGCAGACCTGCACTTCCACTGGAATGTCAGAAATAAAGGGAACATTTGGCTCCAAAACAAAACATTGCACTGTGTCTCTTCCCTGAGTATATGGCTGCAAGAGCAAATATTACTATCAAAGAGAGGACTCCCGGGTCTAATTTGGGTCTCCTTTCGTTTGTGAATTTAATTTGTATAGTTCCCAAAAAAAATTTTTTAAGTGTACTTGGTCTTCATGTGAGCCAGTGGCACATGAGTATCTTGCATGCAAATAAGTGCTGAATCTGGCCCAGCAGGAGGGCTGAGTAGATGTTTTGGGCTAGTTGGCCTCTACTGCAAACTGAGGGCTGTGCAGATTGATACCCTGCCTTTATTTTTACAAAGTACTCAAAGCAGTTCACAGACTTCTCTTGTTCTCAGTCTTACCCACACCAGCAGCCCTGACTCTGGGGACTAGAACCCAGATCGCCTGAGTTCTAGCCCTGCACTCTGGACCACTACACCACACTGGTTCTTTAAAAAATAAAACTAAACTGGGAACTAAAGCCTGCTTCGGCTTCCTCTCTTACCTGCCATATTAACAGTTAGACTGAACTGCAAGACCACCATAAGCTATTCCCCGCACCCAGCATAGACCCCACCTGCAACAAGTTTGTGAGTAACACTGCAGCATTGTTACGAACATTCACAGCCTGGCATGCATTACTCAGTGTGACCTACACTGTAGGGCTGTTGAAGCTACTTTGGCCCCCATCCAGGTTCTCTTCCAGTTTGCAAAATGAAATACATTTGTTTAGAAATTTGCATTCCAAATTTCAATTTTTTTTCTTTAAAAAATGGTTCACACTAATTTGGAAGAGCAAGAACAATTTTATTTCCTGCTATCCTTTGGGCTTGAGGCATGGGCAGAACACAATGGGGCCCAATTTCAGCCACCCCACGGTCTTGAACTGCTTGGCTTCTCTCACCTGAGTCACTGAGAAACAGCTTTTCACTGTGAACAGGGAAGCAATCTATCCAAACAACAAGCCGCTATCTCAGCACTTCTATCAATGTGCCTTCCTCTGTCATATTTTCCTCCTTCCTCTCCAAAACAAAGCAACAGACCAAAAAGGAAGAGGCCCAGAGGTAGACTGATCACCTTTCACTTTTCTCCTGCCACCCTCCAACCTCAACGCTGCTCTCCTTGCCCCTGATACTGGGGCTAATATTTAGCCATCCTGACTAGTAGCCATCGATAACCCAACTCTCCATCCAAATTGGTGGCCATCACAAAGTCTTATGGTAGAGACTTCTATAGTTTAACTATGCATTGTGTGAAGAAGTATTTCCTTTTATCTGTCCAGAATCACCCACTATGCATGTATCTGAAGCTACTCTTAAACTAATCTAGAACAGAGATCTTCTTGTGTTTGCAAAATCAGTATTTTAAAATTTGCAATACCCTTTGTGGGAAGAAAAGATGCTTGTATTAGAGCAGTGTCTGAAGACGCGCTTGAAATGAATTAAGATGATTTCCTGTTCGAAACTCACATGCTGAGATTGGAAGCCTGATGAACTTCTGTTTCTCTTTGGGGGGGTTTTCTTTCCATTTTCATGCCTCCCCTTTGCAGATTGCACATGGTATTCTAATGCTTTCTATTCTCCTGTAAAGGGAAAGTCTGCCATAAACTGGTTTAGGCAGCGGGTCCCTGAGTTGCTTTCCCTAGTTCTCTTTAATGGTCTCTAACTTCATTAAGCATTGGAAAGGAACAGACATTCCAAAGCTTCCTTTGGAAAATTGCTTTGAAAGGAGCGAGGCCCAGTTCTTGACATTGTCTTTCTTGGCCATTCAGTGCTCATATCAATCTGCACCGCTCTGCATTCATGTGCTTCCGTAGTACTTCCAGAGGCTTATTTTGGCTGCGAGTGGAAGGGGTGTGGTGCTTCTCTCATGCTTATGAAGGGGCAGGCTACTCCACCTCTGAAGCTCCTGCCAGCTTCCCTGAGACTTGAGTTCCTCATGTCATCACATGCCCTCATGTGAGGGTTTATGAACTTCCTTAGTGGCTCAGAGTAAACTAAAAGCATCCCTGCTCCCTTCAGAGCCAGCTGTGCAGTGGCTCCAACCCAAACACTGGGAGGCCATAGGATATACACTTACATCCCTGGACACGGCCGCTCAGCTGGAAGCTGCCAGGCAGCCTTGCCAAAGTTTGCCTTGGCAGAGCAGAGTAAGAAACATGGTGTTGGACACTTGAACTTCTTAGTAAAAATCGGATCAAGTGGGCTTTTCTCGTGTATGCTTTAGACCAAGGATTACAGGATTGTTTTCCCTATTGGGAGACAAACTCTTCATTATCAACTGCATGCAAACCGTGATGGGACCAGCCCCAAAAGTGCTAACACTCTTTCCTCCTCCTCCTCATTGTCAGAGTGGTGAATTTTGAACTGCTCGGCATGACAGGTGTCTTAACCATGTCCTTCAGAAAGACAAAAGATGCAACCAGCTGTGCTGTTCCAGATTTAAATTAAAAAAAAAAAACAGCATTCCTTTTTCCTTTCCCACTGGCAGCAGGTCTATTGTAATACCGGGTCTAACTTGCACACTTACATCAAGGCAGCCCAAAATATTTCACATTGCAGCAATTTACTAAATATTGAGAATTGTAACTAAATTCATGCACAGATGTAAAAGGAATACACAACACATAAAACTGGAGCATGAGAAGTATGATTCAAGGTACACTGGAAACTGTAAACCTAAAACCGGAATGCTTAAGTACTTGGAGTGAGTGAACTAAAGGGAACTGCTATGGGACATTTTCAGTCAGAAAAACAATTCTAGTTTTCCCCTCCAAGTTTTACTCTGGAAATAAACTTAAAAGAAATGGAGTGGCTCCAATACTGAAGCAAGATGTAGTACATAATATGAAGCCATAATATGAAGTGCAACCGAATCATATCAAGCAGAATCAGCAGAAAACCTGTTAACATTGCCATGATTCAAGTCTGTATTCCAAGAACAGATGCTGATGAGGAAGAAATTGAAAACTTTTATGCAGACATCCAAAAGGAAAGTGATAACACATCAGAACAAGAAACACTGATAATCACAGGTGACTAGAACACAAAATTAGGAAACAGAATGGAATCCAACATTGTGGAACAATTCAGCCTAAAGATTGGAAACAAAACAGGAGCACAACACATGGAATTCTGTGAAGCCAATAAGCTGTTTCTTGCAAATGCACATTTCAAGCACCCAATCAGATCACAGGGACATCACCAGTTGGTCAGTACAGAAATTAAATAAACTACATAACTGGAAATAGGAAATGGAGAAGCTGTATTCTTGCTGCCCAAACAAGACCAGGAGTGGATTGTAGTATTATCATGAACTATTACTATCAAATATAGATGCATACTACCAAAATACAATCTAAATAACGTTCCTGAGAAATTTAAAGCTCACATAAAGAGCAGAATTTCATTACTGAACTGAACTGACTACAACCCAGGATAACTGTGAGCTAAAACATTACTAGGGAAGAATGCAAGGGAACAATTCAAGTTGTGAAAACAAAAACAGTAACAAAACCAAACAAAAAACCCCACATGTCTAGAAGGATGACTGAAGAAAGATTTTTTGCTAAGGCCATGTGAGAAGCAAAAGCAAAAGTTGACAGGATAGAATCCTGAATACAACTTTTCAGTGATTAACACATAGTGACAAAAAACCCGCAATAGCCACTATAGGCCACTGTAATCGCCAGTACAAAGAAACAGACAAAACCAACAAAAGAGGAAAAAGGAGAGATCTCTTCTAGGTGATCCAGGAAAACACAGGGAAATTCAGACCTAGAGTGGGAATGCTAAAAGACCAGTTGAGAAACATACTCTCTGACCTGGATAAAATAAAGAGAAGGTGGAAACACCATACAGAGGAGATGAAAAGCTGACCTACCACTTTAAAAAGGAATCCTATGAGGAAGAGCCTGCAGTATTAGAAAGTAATGTGAAACCACCTAAAACAAACTGGGTACCAGTAGAACTATTCAAGGCTACCGAGACTGAATCAGTACAAATTCTAATAAGAATATGCAAACAAGTATGCAAAACAGATCAATGGCCCACAGACTGGAATGTTCAATATACTTTCCTCTCGCCAAGAAAGGAGATGCTAAGAGGTGCAGAAACTATAAGACCTTTGCACTAATTTCCCATGCAAGCAAAGTGATACTTAAGGTGTTGCAAGAAAGATTTTTACCCTGTATGATGTAAGAAATGCCTGAAATTCAGGATGGGTTTCAAAAAGGAAGAGGCACAATTATACCACGTTAGCTTCTAGAGTGTACCAAACCACGCCATAAATATACATTATCATTTCACAAATATACATTAGATCATGCCATAAATATACAGTAGCTTCTAGAGTGCATCAAAAAAATTCAGGAAGAGATTGGTCGATGTGTTCTAGACTACATTGAAAGCAAAAGCAGAAAGTGCAAAAGCAGAACTGCAGCTGAACATTATTCAACATCAATTCAAATAAACTGCTATTAAGAAACTTGAAGACTGAGCCATGGAAGGGGAGCAAGGAAATGGGAAAGAGCATCAGGTGCAAGGATGTTTCACTGGAAACCAAGGCCAAAGTCATCTGCACAATTGTATTCATGATTGCTATGTATGTGTGCGAAAGCTGGACAGTGAAGAAAGGTGACAGGAAGAAACCCGATGTGTTCAAACCATAGTGTTGGAGGAGAGATTTACCAATACCCTGGACTGACACATGTACAAGTACATCAAATCAAGCCTCCAGCAAACCAAGCCAGAACTTGTCCAGGAATCAAAAATGATGAAACTGAGGCTGTCGCACTTTGGATATATCATGAAAAGGCAAGGTTTAGTGAGAAGATATTCAAGCTAGGGAAAGTTGAAGGCTGAAGAGGAAGGGGAAGGCCAAATAGGAGATGGCCCTATTCCATGGGGGAAGCCACAGCCTTGAGTTGACAAGAACTGAGCAGGGCTGCCAGGCCATTGTGAAGCAGATCCACTCT